CTCTCTCTCTCTCTCTCTCTCTCTCTCTCTCTCTTTCTCTCTCTCTCACTCTCACTCTCACTCTCTCTCTCTCTCTCTCTCTCTCTCTCTCTCTCTCTCTCTCTCTCTCTCTCTCTCTCTCTCTCTTAGTCTCTCTCTCTCACACTCTCTCTCTCTCTCTCTCTCTCTCTCTCTCTCTCTCTCTCTCTCTCTCTCTCTCTCTCTCTCTCTCTCTCTCTCTCTCTCTCTCTCTCTCTCTCTCTCTCTCTCTCTCTCTCTCTCTCTCTCTCTCTCTGTCTCTCTCTCTCTATATATATATATCTCTCTCCTTCTTCTCTTCCTCTCCCCCCCCCCATCTCCCGATAATTATTAGCCCCCCCCCCGTTTTCTTTCGACGCGTTTGCTGTGCAGTGAAGCCGAGACCCTAGGTCGGTGGAGCACATCAGACCCCGTCACCACGTCCACGATTCATGTCTGCGATGCTGCACCGCTGCTTTGCATGTCATGATTGGAAGCTGTGGCCTTAGTAAAAAAAAAACAAAACAAAACAAAACAAAAAACAAAACAAAAAAAACATCGTCTATTCTGCTACAATCCTGCATCAAAGTTGGAATGGAGAGCAATCAATGGAGAAGCGATCATGTCTTATAGTGCTAAGAAGTAGTGGAGCTCGTGAGAGATAAGGTGGCAACTTCAGATGCAGATCGACGATATGCATAATTTCCTGGAAGTTTGACAATGTGCAGACTTTCTTCCATTTTTGTCCCAAACCAAGAGCATTATATCCCTTGCTGAAGAATTCTAATCAGCATTATAACGCAGTTTTTGGAGCATTATACGAACATTTTCGGAGCATTATCCGCTGGACTCTAGACATGTGTAGTTTGATCGTGATTCTAATTCTGGACGCTGTTCTTTTTTTCGTCAGGCAGCCAAACTTTGACGCAGTCTGACCAGGCCCTGAGCGGTACACACATGCATTTATGCGCTTCATTTTCTTTTTAACACCTCAAAGGGTTAAAAATTTTGTACACACATGCAATATGCGCTTCATTTTCTTATTATTAAAATTTTGTTTTGTTTTGCTTTGTAGTTGTTGCGTCAGGCGAGTGAAATCATGTGATCACGTGATTGACCGTGTAAGAGGCTTTAAAAACAAATTTATGTGCTGCAGCGCACTGGTCCTATCGGATCTACATGTGGACTGCACGCAGCGTTCTGTACGCGCAGAGGGCGCCGGCCCCGGTCAATCGACTGGATATCCATGTCCCCTACAGCTACAGTACAGTGCTAAGTCTGCTGACGGAACTGAGTACACAACCAGTCAGGAGAAGGCCAAGTGCCTTGGTCAGTACTTCGCCGATAATTGCAGCCTTGGCCCACATGCCACAGGACTTCAACAAGGAATCTGAATTCCCCTTTGTCCACTCCAGCCTCGCTCCCAAAGCCATCTCCTAACTGACCTAAGTATTCGCTTCCGCCCTGATGAGGTTCGTAGGGGGCCCTTGATCTCTCGTAAGTGTCAGGCCCTGACATGATGCTCCGGGCAGAGTCCTCAAAGCCAATGCTGAGCACCTTGCACTGCCATTAGGTTTGGTCTTCCGTCAGTGCATGACGTCGGGGACACAACCATAGTCTTGGAAAATGGCAAGTGTCGTCCCAGTCCATGCGAAACGGTCAAAGTCTGCCCCATCGAACTATCGGCCCATTTCCCTCCTGCTGCTCATCTCCAAGACAATGGAAGGGGTTGTTAATTAACCGTGCTCTCACCACCTTTCTTGAAGGAAATAATAATTATACTCTCAAACCGCCAGTTTGGTTCTCGCCCAGGGTTAGGGCCTGCTGACCTCCTGACAGGACTGCACCACCAGTGGAGCAAGATAGCAGCTGCCGGCGGTGCTGTACGCATTGTTTCTGTTGACATTGCGGGGGCCTTCGATAAAGTCTCCCATGCAGGTGTCCTTCACAAGGCAAAGGCTTACGGAGTAACCGGGAACCTCCTCAACTGGTTCCACAGCTACCTGACGGATAGACGAATTCAGGCCGTTAGGAGTGGCCAAACCTCACCTGAATTCCGAATCAGCTCAGGTACTAGGTGTGCCGCAAGGGAGCATGTTGGGTCACATTCTATTCCTCCTATAATTATGTCACATGGAGAACCACCTCCCAGCCACAATCCAGCTCGCCATATATGCAGATGACACTACGCTATGTCAGTGCATCTGTCCCTGGCCAGAGCTGGAAGATGACATTCGACCCGACATAGTCCCAAGTCTTGACGATTTCGCATCACCGTCAACCCTGGTCGATTCCTCCAGCCACTGTCAATGGGGTGGCCATAGAAGAAGTGGAGGAGCTGAAGTTGCTTGGAGTGCTCTTCGATCGGAGCCTCTCATTTCGCTCCCTCATTCGACAAGTTGCAGTCCGTGGTCGCCAACGTCTTGGCTCCATGAGGAAGCTCTGCCAATTCTCGACAACAAGGCCAAGTATGCCGTGTATCGCGGCTTCGTCCGCCCAGTACTTGGGTACTGCCCGCTTTCATGGTTGGGCGCGTCCCAGTCTACCCTGAACCAGCTGGACCAGGTAAAGCACCGAGCCCTAAAGCTCATCGGCCCAGGGTCGTATCTCCCAAGCCTCACTATGTGGCGTCAAGTCTAAGCACTCACATGCCCATACAAGCTGCATTGGATTGATGGTCCCCCAATCCTGACCACCATGACACCACCGAGGGCAGTTGGTAACCAGCACCGGCGCTCCACTCACCACCAGCAAGAGGAGCAGCACCAGAACCGACTAGTACCGACACTGCCCGCCGGAACCCGTAATAGTGCTCTCCGATCATTCCCCCATGCCACGATCCAAGACTGGATTCGTCTCCCATCTGTCCTGCTATGCAATCTTCCCACGCAGAAGGGAATGCAGGTATTCAAGCAAGGCGCCTGGAAGTCTCTTCTCAGTCGAGACTGGCACTCAGCCACAGATGCCATCTGAACCCTCCCTCAACATCCTCCCCGCTTGCACCCTGGCTCCCCCTTTTTACTCTATCACATGTATCATCTTTCCATTATTCACCCTCTATACAAATGTACTCCCCCCCCCTCTCCTCCCCCTGTGCCTACTCCTCCCCACATTTTGGTGCACTGAAGTGTCGCTGAAGCCGAGACCTCAGGTCGGCAGAGTTGCTCCAGTTTCACCACCACAGTTGCGTCTGCAGTTTCTCGTAAAAAAAGGAAAGAAAGAAAGGGTTCTGCTGCCTGACGGTCCGCCTCCGCCGGATGACCTGCTTTACGAGGCCATAACATCCACAAAAGTACAAGCTACCATCATGGCGATGAAGGGCACTGCTGGCCCTTCGGCACTGGATTCGATGGCTTGGCGGCGGATGGCTTCCATGTACGGTGCGGCGTCAAAATCACTTTGCATATCCCGGCCCACTTGGCCAGGTATTTGTGCGTGGAGGAGATTGACCCATCTCATCTCCGAGCTTTTCTTGCCGGTTGACTTATACCACTGGACAAGAAACCTGGGGTAACACCGATAGCGATCGGTGAGGTTTTCCGGAGAGTGGTCGGGAAGGTGATCATGGCCGTGGTCAGGAAAGTGATCATGGCCGTGCTCGAGCGTGACGTTGTGGCCGTCACCGTCACTGAAGCTGTGTGTCGGCGTCCCCTCCGCCTGTGAGGTTGCTGTCCAAGCCCTTACTAGGTTATACGAGCAGATGAGGACACGGCCATCTTCTTCGTGACGCTACAAATGCGTTTAATGCGTTGAACCGTGCAGCCGCAATCAATTAAAAATCAATGAAATAGCATACCGAAGGTTTGCCCCGCAGCTGGTCGAGTGTATGTAAATACATACCCGGCCGACATACCACTTTACCTCGATGTTGGAGAGGTATTGTATTCGCGCGAGGGGACTTGCCAAGGGGACCCTCTGGCAATGGAGTTTTACGCATTGGCCACGGTTCCTCTTGCTGCACAGCTTGGTTCAGCATCAGAGTCAACAGCTTAAATCTGGTACGCGGATGATGATGCGGCTGCCGAGAAGGCCATCAATGACGATCTGCTGCCGGCGCTATGTGCCCACACGTTCAGGCCTGACGGTGAGCTTCGTCAGCTACTATTGGTGCCCCTGAGAAAAGGCGGTCGCGCTATGCGAGTCCGGAGTGTGCATGCTGAGGCTGAGCGTCTGCTCTGCTGCGATGCGACGGACCCTATGGTGACGTGTGTGGTCGTCGGTCTGGGCGAGCATCGTATCGCCAACGTAATTTCCTCCAGCAAGGCATTGGCAGTTCAGGCTCGTGGCCGACGCCGGTCTCAGTGGCTGGAAATCTTGGCTGAGATCAAGCCTGATCTGTCGGATCAGCAGTGCCTCTTTGTTGATGTGGCAGGTGAGAGTGGTGTATGCACTTGGCTTGGCACTCCCCCTTCCATGCAAATATATGGGTCGTATTTAATAAATCTGACTTGAGGGATGTACTCTGTCTGCGGTATGATTTATTGCTGGATGGGGTTGCATTGTCCTCGGTGTGTGTGGAAGGGAGATGTCAAGCCATCACGCACTCACTTGCCCCAGTGGAGGCTACTCGACGCAGCGACACAACGAGTTGAGGGATCCCCTTGCAGACGCCCACGGCAGCGTCGTTTTTGATGTGGCGATCGAGTCACCGCTGATGCCACACACTTTGGCAAAATAATTCCAGTTTCATATCAGAAACCAAAACGTTGATCTGATTTAGAATCCTGTCGGACTGGTCACGAAGTTTCAGGTCGTTGATCTGATTGTAGTTGAAATACTGCCAGATGACCCAGGGGCGTCGGATACAGCACGGTCACTACGGTATTGACCGTACCACGTTTTGCCCTAGGTACCCAGTGACTCAATAAAATACACTGATCTGGGATCTAAATTTCCAAACTTTTCGGCTCAGCCACCACTCTCCCACGAGTAAATCGTACTTCATATTGAAAGGGAATTAGTTCTCCCCCTGGCCCCCGCCACACAGCAACGCAAACTCTTGATTGTGTCTCAATTCTTATAATTATTATACCAATAAATGACGAGGGCGCAGGAGGAGAAAGACACAAAGACTAGACTGAAAACGACGACGGGAAAAGACACCCGGGAAAAGACACGAAGAAACAACAAAGAACAAGCAGTAATAAGGCGACGACAAAATTAATCGGGACGACCAATCAGGGACTAATACGTACAGAACACATGACCAAGACCAAGACAACCAGGTCACGGACAAATCACACAGGACTCTCATTCCCAGACCAAACTAGCACTGCGCATGTACAACATTCACTTGACAGTCATTCTCACACAGATGGAAGCAGATCCTCACACTCTGACACCGCATATTGACACTCTTGCATGCACCACATACCATAAACGTCACACATCACACCATACTCACGCGCACACTTGGACCATATAATTATGACATCACACACTGAACTCTACGAGACAAGAACCAAATACAACAACGTGCGTAAATAATAGTCGAACAGAAATCCGCAACAATATGGCTGACCGCACCACACTAAAAATGTTAAAAATACCTTCCTATGCCCCTGTGACCAGATCATCTCTCCTATTGGCCATGGTCATCATTGTGAGAATACAAGATCATACAGTAAGATGCAATGTTATCGGCAGCACTACTGGCCAAGGCGCATAGTGGTTTGCAAGCTCTACATTTCCACAAAATTTGAACAAAATCCACACAAAAGCCCGAAATGATGCGGCACCTGTTCAGACAGGCGGTAGTAAAAGACCGGCGCCGGTTTCAGAAATACGGCAGTGATGTCACACATACTGCTAGGGACAGCCATATGTAAAGCTTGATTCCTTGAAAGGCAGCCTGTTCTAAATCATAACAGCACAAGGAACGGTACTTGAAAGACCAGCCGTACACATGTTGAATAACGTACATCTAAACACAATCTATCTACCTGAGTGTACCACTAATCAACCAGACAGTACACGACCACATACGAGAGCACTTCTTGCAGGTACGAGTGTACACAGTGCAGTGAACCGAGGTACTTCCACGGTGTTTGTCTAGATGGTAATGGCGGTGGAGGTGTGTCGTTGGACGAGTAAATCAGGCATTCTCACGACCCTTTTATCAGATTATTGCGTGGCATGGCTGGTGAAGGCTGCCTTCTTCTTGCCCTTCATGCGGTTGGTATAGCCTGACTCAGTGGTGTCGTTGCTCCGCTGCGCCATGTGCTTCTGTCCGATATTGGAGCTCAAATGCTTGCCGCCATGCTGCCATTTGGATGTGGATGTCAGGCTTGCTGCAACACGATCCATGTCTCGGTCCAGCTCCGCTGTTACTTGACGAGAGTTTGATGCACTGGACCGGATTGCTGCTTGTTGCTGCATGAGAGGAAAGCAAAAAAGAAAAGACAATACACACAAGGAAGGCAATCAGCATTCGCAGGCTCACTATTAACAATGGTTCACAAGGATACTGATCAGCAAGTCGAATTTCTCCACTGTACTCTAGGATTGAAATATCTGATACTAGCAGCACCCCAGGCCAGCGTTGCCTGGCCGAATGTGGCATGCGGGTGAAGCAAGTACATGAACAGCACACTTGCTTAGCACGTGGTGGTGGCCAGACCGCTGAAGTCCTGGTGAGGAAGGTTCTTCATGGTGGGAAGGAGAAGGAGGGACGTCTGTTACGCCTTCGGGAGGCTGGTCAGGGTTGTCCATCACCTGGTGGCGGATGAAGCGGCTCAAAAAATTCATAAACTTACGAACAAAAGTGCGATGCGCTCTTCACTACAGATCAGATGCAGAGTGCAGTCAGTGCAGATCTTTTGTATCCTTTTGTTGCAGATGTTTCTATTTGCAGAGAACGGTTCACGTGGTCCGCAGCGCTTGTGCGGCTGCTAGTGCTACCTATGGCCTAGGCTAGGTGGCTACATGATTCGCACGCTTCGCGTGCTCAGTGCTTCTGCGCGCGGCTGCTACTGCTACTCGTACTGAGCGCTACCACCTACACCGTTCGCACGCTTCGCGTGCTCAGCACGTGGTGGTGGCTACACGATTCGAACGCTTCGCGTGCTCAGTGCTTCTGTGGCTGCTTCCGCTACCTACACGATTCGCACGCTTCGCGTGCTCAGTGCTTCTGCGGCCGCTAGCTACACTGTGCTACACTGTTCGCACGCTTCGCGTGCTCAGGGCAGCGCTGCTCCGCAGCGCTTCAGCGTGACATACACACACACGTCACAGGTGCCTCTTCTTTATAAGGAGCGTGACACACACACACACACACACACACACAGACACACGTCACAGGTGCCTCTTCTTTATAAGTAAAGATACAGTAAAACCTGTAACTAATGACCACCGTGACTAGCGACCAGCCTGGTACTACCGACCGCTTCACCAGGCACGGACGTTCTCACATTCAAAATGCACTGTGACTAGCGACTACCTGCTGAACGCGACCAGCGACCGCCTTTTCTTGTCCCAAAGACGACTTTTGACCCGTAACTAGCGACCGCGATGTAGGAAATCAAATGTTGCTCGAAGCTCCTTCTTGAAATTTTGCTGATTTTCCGAAGGTCCTGAAAGGCATCTTTCGATACTACAGCTGAACAAATGAACGCAGGTCATTTTGACTGTGCAGTCGGTGTTGACTGCACTGCACCTGTCAAAGTTTCAAGCCCTGTGCAGAATAAACATGATAGGAAACGTCTTGGAGAGCGCATCGGACGCGCTCTCTGATCGATGTTACTACTCGGAGGAGAAACGAAGACTGAGCGACTCTTTCACCCCAGTCATACAGACGAATCGACGATGGCATCAAGGAATCCATAAACCATGCAGCACAACAAGGTCCTGATGCTGACGGATCGCGTTCAAGCAATCGAGAAGTCTGCACAACAAGGACAGTCGGTACGATTGATTGCATGAACAAATTTGAAGCCCAGCGGAAAACGAAACTTACACAGGGAGTGTTTGACTCCTGGCTTCAGAAGTAGCAGCTGAATTTGATGTCTGGAAAAATTAAACTCTTCTCTCTCTCTCTCTGACTCTCTCCATCTCTCCGCCTTTCTCTCCAAGTGCTGTTTTACCTAAAACATGGTATTGCGCAAGTTCTGGGGAATTGTATTGGCTGCATTTTGACATACATATCATCTAATGGGATCCATATATGGTCACGCAGTGCAAACCTCAAACTAAAGACCACCTGGTACTAAAGACCGCTTTTGCTGGAACCAAGGGGTGGTCGGTAGTCACAGGTTTCACTGTAGATGCAAACAACGCATACACGTTTGTTTACTCGATCTCCGAATCACTCGAATTTCTCTACAGGTCTGAACAATGGCACTACCGTAAAAGCACCTATTAACGCCCACCCAGTAAACGCCCGCTGCCCCTGTACACGGCCAGGTGCCGCATGTCAAAACTCTTGTCCCATTTTTCTAGCTCACCTCCGTGTGAACGCACAGGGACAAAAACGCAAGCCAAGTACACAGAGCTGGGCATGCACAGCTCCGCGCTCATATTATTAGCTGGTAGACCAGTGTACAGCACACTGTGCTAACATCGTATGCAGGACGGCATGTTGACGTGAAAATCAATCTGATTTCACTTATCCGAAATATCCCCCGGCCGCACATCAGCGCCCATGTTCTGGACATTCTCTAACATTTCCGCCCAGGGCCTTGTTACGGGCTTTCACGGTATCTGACATACATGCAACATCATGCATGCGCCGGTTTCCTTTACGGACAGCTAGCTGATTCGACCTTGCACGGCCTCGTCAGAACAGCTCATGTCCGTTTATAATTACGCTCTCACCTGAGCCAGCATATGTCTTGCTCCATTAAGATCCCCTCGGTCTGCCAGTGTTGACGCAATCTGAATGACTTGAGCTGAGGTGATGCGGTTACGGTGCTGGTCAACATCAGGGTTGGGTGAGCGACCAGCTGGAAGTTCCTTAACTCTGCGTACTTTCAGCGAGGCTTCGGTCACCTCCAGCAGGCTTGTGATGACATTGAAGCAGGTGAGTTTAGCCCTGAGAATAACCCATTCATCACACTCTTCAGGTAAATCAGGCAGATCCAAGCAGAACACACAGTCGCGGCATTCTTCTGACTGGATATCTCCCAGAGGCAATGTAATGGCAACACCACTATGTGTTGATTTGGTGCTTCGACCCGCATAGGCTTCCACTATGTTACAGCCGTTCTCAGCCATGATTTCCAGAGATATATTCTGAGCGGCTGTGCTCAGCAATCCACCCAAGCAGTCGGCAAATGACTCTGGAATCTTCTCAGATGAGTCAATGTAGTAATACATTCCATTACCAGCATTACTCAACGCTTGCAGCAACTCGGCATTGTGATCACTACCAAAGCCAAATGTGTAGACAGTTGCAGCCACAACGTCACTGAGTTCAGAAGAGTCAGCTGATGAAGAGGTCACTGCGGGTGTCATTGCAGGTGGAGGTGGTGGTGGTGGTGCTGCTGCTGCTGCTGATGTTCCAGCTTGTGGGCCCGATGGTGGCGGTGGTGGTCCTGTTGGTGGCGGTGGTGGTGGTGGTCCTTCTGCTGCCGGTGGTGGTGGTGGTGCTGCTGCTGCTGCTGACGTAACTGCTGGTGGTGGTGGTGGTACTGCTGCTGCTGCTGGTGGTGGCGGTGGTGCTGCTGACATAACTGCTGCTGCTGGTGGTGGTCCTGCTGGTGGCAGTCGTCCTCCTGGTGGGGGTGGGGGTGGTGCTGCTGATCCTGGTGGTGGTCCTGCTGGTGGTGGTGGCCGGCGGTGTAGCGGTGGTAAATGTTGCTGACGGTGCATGTCTTGGCTAAGTTGGCTTTCTTGCTGCTCAATGCTAGTAGCGCGATGGCCACCAGTAGGATAGAAGTCATGCCGGCCTCGTTGTGTTAAGCAGGCAATAATTTCTCGCCTTGTGGTCAAGCCCCTATTGGCAATACCATCCGTCATCAAAAGAATAGATGACACCGTTTTCTTTTCCTTTTTAACACTTGTATCGCCGCCGGCATTCTGTTTCTGCAGGTCTTCAATCATTGCCAATCCTTCCAGAAGCCCACCAGACAGATTGGTGCAGGACCCTGTGTGCAAGCGTTCGATCAGATCAGTCATTTCCGCTTTGCCGCTCGCATCCATCTTCTTGAGTGTACCAGTTGATGTCACAGCCGTATCGTACAGGACGACTCCCAGCTTGTCATTCTCACTCACTGTGAACACCACATGGACAAAAAGAGGACAGTCTTCATCATTCACTCGCCATGATAACATTGGGCAAGCTTGCCTGTTTGGCGTTGCGATGTAAAATTGAACTAGGAGCGGAAAACATCACAAGGAGATCTCTAAGCAAGTTAGCCAGCTGAGAATATGAGAAGGGGAAGCGATGTTTCTCTCCCAATGACATTATTATCCAGGTATTTCGACATTTTTAAAGTGTAAGTAAACGGCGTTAACAGAATAATAAGATGAGCTGTCACAGCAGTCACAGATGTCATTCAAATGCACACGTTCCACTAAAGTCCAATATGAGTTAACTGGAACATTTTTCGTGACAATCTTCAGTGGTTGTCGTCACCGGCTCAAGGGATTGAATAATAATGAAGAAGAGCACCATGATAACATTATATAGTTAGACTTCGACGGACAGCCAAGGATTACTTTATAAAAAGAAAAAGGACCAAGGAACTACAAGTTACGCTATAATGTCCACTAACACCACCAGTTACTTGACAATCAGCTCACGTTATAACATTGCACGACACTGACCAATGGTACTGTCTTTCAGCAACTAACTGCCACTCAGCTGTAATATGTCTTGGATGCGCACTACAACAGAAAAATTGTAAAAATAACAAGGAGGGAAAGGCGGTGGCAACCTGACATATAAGGCGAAATGATCGTCGTGTGAAACTGCTGCGTGTTACTGCTGCTTATTCGTCCATCTAAATTGTCTTAGTCGAAATACAGTACTGTATTACCGAGGCGTTCTCTGAGGCTGTTCTGCACAATTCATGTTCGCTTAGCTTCCCCTCCAATCAATCATAAAATCTTTAGAGCCACGCAAGTTGTGTGGTATGTTGCTTTGCGTTCTTGAATTGTGGTTTGACCGTATTGTCCAATGGTCTTGCCAGTATCGTATTCGACATACATGTACATCCACTAATGTCCTTCACAGCTGAGACTTTCAGCTCATGCTTATCTTCGAGCCCACCTACACTTAGCGCTTGATTTTTTATGCCTGTGGACCTATGTGTTTATATGCGTATTGCTGAGTACATCCCCAGTATCAAGTTGTCTAATGATTGCCTCAAGGCATGAAACTCAGAGCTACAACCAACCCGAGCGTCCTCTGCTGAGTACGGTATGTTGAAATACATGTGCCAATTATCCACACCCCAGGGGCACAGGCTGTCTCCAGGAGCCAGGTTCGGGTGAGAAGAATGTTCAGATAAGGGAGCAGTAACATATCTATCTAAACCATGCCATATAGACAAGCGTTTCAGAGACAGCAGTTTGAATAAAGCAACAAGGACTATTTTCGCTGTAAGCATTTCCTGTATGTCGACATGTAAGAGTAAAATGTGAAATCATCGTTTCACATTTTTACTCATACAATCATATTATAGGAAATGCTTACAGCGAAACTAGTGCTCCTTGTTGCTATATTCCCGCATGTTTTCATCATTTTTCATTCTCTTCAGCAGTACAACAGGAATTAGGCGCAATCCAGCTCCTCAAGAATGACACCATTGTTATACATTTTGACTCCAACCTGTTGTAATACATCTTGTGCATCGCTTGAATGGTGTTCCGAGTGGGTAAAATCAACAAAAACCTCGAAAAAGCCGCCAATTTTTTATTGTCCAGCCCGACCAGGCGATCAACAAAATCAATCATCCAGATAGTTGACGTCCGGATAATCACGACGAAATGATGAAATTATATTTCTGGCGTATCTTTCTGCTTGTAGACTACATGTACTTGAGTACGCAATCATATCGTGTTGCCCACCAATAATTCAGGCAACAGTGCAGTACTGTAAAACCAGAAACAATGTCATAGAATCTTAAAAATATTATGTTTCTGTGAAAACCCATTCCCATGCATTTCTGTTTTGCAATAATTATTAATTATTTGAGAAGTTTCTGCTGGTGTGAGAACCTTTTTCCGCATACGATTTTCATTCTTATTTTTGTAGATTTCAAGACTACTACTGCTGCTGCTGCTGCTGCTGTGGCGGACCTTTTCCAGATTTTCAAACACTGCATTATCTCGTACAAAAGTTCCCGTGATATTTCGTGGTTGTACGAGTGTATAAAACTGTGAAACAATTGAATGATTGTGCAACGTCTTGTAACTCCTGTAGTGTTCCACAAGCACAGATATATGTACATCATGCTCTACTGAGCATTCACTGAAGTCATTTCAGACTGCTTGTTTCATTCTTCTTGTCACAACTACCGACAGTAGGTGAGTACAACCATATCTTTGTACTGTATTACAGGAACTGTAATCCGCTATAGTGTAATTTCCGCTAGAACACACTGTTCTTGAGCCTGTGCGTACGAATAATTCAGTATAACGTAAGAAGTCGTACAGTCGAGTGTCTTTTCGGTTCACACCACTTTCTTTTCTACTAAAATTTCTAGACATTTCTGCTCGCGGCTGCATAAATTTGCTTGCATTCAACCCACACATTCATGCATCCTTTTTTTCATACTATGTGCACATCCCTAAAAAGTAATAGGGGTAATGAAAGAGACAAAGACAAAAGACAAAGACAACAAAGGAGAAGTAGGTGTTACAAGAGCGGTGCTGGTCACGCGCAGTGCACTCCTCCGACCATTACGGTCTCGGAATCAACATGGACTGTGCGCGCCAAGGGGGTATGGTATGAATGATAGACTGATAACAGCATCAGAAAAGGCAACACAAATGAGAAAGAACTCGGATGGAGAGCCAAGGATTAATTTTAAAAATGTAAAAAGGACCAAGGAACTACAAGTTCCAGCTCGTTCTTATCTTCGTTGCGCTCACCTTCCCCTCCTTATGTTATTTCTATAACTTAGAAACTTCCAAGTTGGAAGGCTGTTGGAGTGCGCATTCAAAATGTGCTAGAGCTGTTAGCCAGTTAGTTGTAGAATGTTAGTACTGTCGGTCAGTGTCGTGCAATGTTATCGCATGAGCTGATTGTTTAGTAACTGGTGGTGTTAGTGAACATTATAGTGGAACTTGTAGTTCCTTAGTCCTTTTTACTTTTTTATAAATGAGAAAGAGAAGATTAACAAAAAGAAAATAATATACATGTAGACTGATCAAGCTTTAGCTTACGTATGTCCCTGACAGTCTGAGAGAGAGAGAGAGAGAGAGAGAGAGAGAGAGAGAGAGAGAGAGAGAGAGAGAGAGAGAGAGAGAGAGAGAGAGAGAGAGAGAGAGAGAGAGAGAGAGAGAGAGAGAGAGAGAGAGAGAGAGAGAGAGGGAGGGAGGGGGGAGGGAGGGAGAGAGAGAGAGAGAGAGAGAGAGAGAGAGAGAGAGAGAGAGAGAGGGAGGGAGGGAGAGAGAGAGAGATCTTTCTTCCAACACCATAGCGGTGTGGACTTGATTACGTGTGCAGTGTTATCACTGATGTTACTATCACTAAAAAAAGTACGGCTTGTCCACCAACTCTTTGACTGATTTTACTACTGCATACCATTGCTCCTGCAATCAATACATGCAATCAATACATGCAATCAATACATGCAATCAATACATGCAGTAGACACACTGGAACATAATACAGTAACACACTTCCTGAGATGAATCGATCCATGCCATTCTTTGTTGACATATTTGTAATCAGTACGCGAAGAGCGCCATTTTGACCTACCTATTCATATTGGTGTACGCAACTCCCCACTATAGCAATAATTATGTTATACCTCACAATAGCATAAAACTAACTTGCCACCCCCCCCCCCCCCCCCCGTGCGAGATACTACATGACGTAGTAACAATAGGGCTTGAAAGTGATGACGTCAAAAACGGCCAGGGAGTAGTAAGTTGACATCAGATTTCTATTTCAGATCTACTAAGGTGTGACTTTGCTATTGCCTCAGTACGTGGGTGCATAGCAACCCACTCATGTCGTATGCAGGGGTGACTTTTACTTCGCCACCAGTTGTAACCCCGCCCCCAGTAGCCAAATCAGTCAGTTTCACTGGTTACATCACCTTGCTGTGAGTAAGACGGCTTGAAACGTGCTTGGATCCATACAAAAACTGGATCCAAGTGGATCCAATTTTTGAATTTTTGAAATTGTTGCTATGCTGTGACGTAGCACTTTCAAGCCCTATACTGAGAGGTCTGCCCTGTACACATGGTACATGATCAATGTACAGTGCTTGCCAGAGAAAACAGACCTCATGAATAATTGTAATAAAGCCAGGCGCTACGCGGCCTGCCCCTACATCAGGGATGGCTACATCGTAAGGATGTAGTGCCACACACACTACACGTACACAGTCACTGCACAGCAGCACAGGTGACTTGAGCGCGGTGCTCCTTTTTCATGATGTAGAAACTGTAGGCTACAATCTGTACTCACATTGTTGGATGACGAAGACCATGGTTTCCTTGACCATATTCAGTTTATTGTCCTGCCTCATGCTGCCACTTTTATCAATCACCGCAACGAGCTCCAACGGTGCCCGATCCTTCTCACTGACTTCTCCATCTTCATCCTCCTGGCACTGGGGCGCTTGGATACTAACCACCACCCAACCTTTCTCCTTGCTAGCGTGCTGATACTCATTGAAGTCTGACTTGCACGCTAGTCCGATTTCCTTCGATACCTGCGCTGCTGAGGCGTCTGCCGAAGCCATTATGCGATATCTCCGGTCTCCGGACAGATATTTTGGAGGTACGTGCAAAGCACTGAGAATGTAAGATGAGTGAAAACTGTCTTCGGTGGAAACAAATAATAATAACACAAACCTGCACTGAGCCCCTGACCCACACTCGACTCTTGTCTCTGTACTAACTGTAGCTCTGCATGTCCATGTACAGCCTGCACTACACTCTACACGACTACAGCCAGTGTAGATCTACCATGATCTACATAGATTAGTCCTTGTAGTACTAGTAGCTCTACTGCTTATACAAAGACATAAGTGGTGTAGCCTGTACATGTAGGCAGGTAGGTGCAGAGCTGAGTGCATGCAGTGACTCGAGTGAGTGAGGGGCGTCGCCGCGTAGGCCGGTTGACGGCAAATGACGGCTTCTCGGACCTGTGAGTTCGAGTTTGTACTGATTTCCTGAAAAATAATATTTTTTGTCTCAAGTCAAGGCCAAGCCAAGGACTCGGTACGCTCACCGACGGGTAGATCAGAGATCTACTACGGGGTCGGTACTTGTACTGTTGCTAACTTGTAGTCTTACTGAAACCGATGAAGGAGTGCTCCATCATGCATGGTCGATAAGGCTGCTAGCTGTACTGTACTGTGCATGGTGTCTCAAGTCAAGACGAGTTTGCACCGTTAGAGGACTTACATGTACATGTAGGTACTTTCTTGCAAGAGCTAGACTGTCAATCCACAGTCTTAGAGTTTACCTGCCAGGCGAAGAAGCAGCTGCATGTCAAAAAAACCTTGGATTATTTATGACAGAGATGCAAACCTCTGTGTTCTCCTGTTCATTTGAGCACAGTTTCCAGGTTTTGGCTAGTGAAAAAGTACGGCACATAATAATTATTGCTATAGAAATAATTTAATTGGCATGATTCACGGCAAAATTCGGAAATAAGTGCTATAAAGAATACTTCGAGTACTAATTCTGTCCCTCCAGGAAATCGCGATTCCACGGACGCAACAAATTTCGCGATTTTGGCCCAAACCCACGATTTTCTGAAAAATCCGCGATTTCCCGAGTTTTGTCAATTTGTGTTGTTTTTTGCATTTCTTTTGACATTTTTCTGCACTTTTCACGCAGTATACAGTGCTTTCCATGATCCTGCTTGTAGGTTATTTCCACAGTACGCAAATAGCGATTCTAAGCATACATGTACAACAAATTTCGTCATTTGGCCCAAATCCGCAATTTTCTGCCAATAATTCCGCGAGTTCCGGGCAAGTTCCGCACTTTTCACCGCATTTTTTGTTGTTTTCTGCCGCAATTTCTTGGGCAAGTTTTCGAGGATTTTTTCCGCAAATTCCCGCAGGGACAGCTAATTGAATTTGATGTAGATATGGCCAGACAGATTTTCGCGTTCTACTTGACTGTGAATAGTTAAAAATAAGTCAAAAGAAGTCTTGAGGCTTCCTGCAGCTTCATAATAGAAAAGAGGTTTGAGCGGACACACCCATTCCAGTCTCACTGCAAATCTGAACCAATTCCATTGTTAACCCTTTGGAGTCCGTAACTTCTTTGCTTTCTCAGAATTTGTGGCAGTCACGAAAATGCGCACTCAATTTCCAACATACATGTAGGCTTTGGTTCTACTTCACCGATTTCGAAGATCTTGGGCTCGTTGGAAAGCTCTTGATGAGAGAAATACAATGAGCCCAAACTCGCCAAGAGCACTACTCATTGTCCGCCACAACGCGCTCCAAACGCGAGTCCAGCTCCAGATCCGACACGAAATCGGTCTCCTGCAGCTATTTCACTGAACCTACAATGTAGCTCGGAACTGTTCCATTTTTTTAGTACGAGTACATTAGAGTCGCGCGCCCAAGGGGTTTCCAAGGGGCTAGCCGGCTGGGACGTTCTTATTTTTTTCAGCAATCTGGCTGCGTTCTTATAGCACGTTCTTAGAAACAATCCGTACTGGATCATATTCCACAAGCTGCTAGAAAACCAACACCGCCGTTCTTAGCTTTAGTTTAGGCTGTGGCGTTCTTAGAATTTCAGGCTGGACGTTCTTGGACTCCACATTCTTCAGCGCGCGACTCTACTCATGTACAATGTCCAGTGATGTCATGTAGACCTTGCCGTGACTTCGCGCTGCGCCGGTCCTGGCACGTGCCGCCTGTCCTGAAGCTGGGAAAACGAGAGAGCTTGGAAGCTCAGGGCCCTACGCTATGCTTTTTTGCCTTGATGACCTAGACACAAAAAAAGCACAGAGATGTTATAAGTTCTTTAAAAAATTCCTTTTTTTTAAGACATAACCTGGGATTCGAACCCGCACTATCGCGCGCCCTGCATGCATCCCCCGATACACTTCGCATACATACTAATTCTTCCAAGTTGTTTCACATTGTGATCTTGCATTTGAAAGCCCTATTTGAATATGCATTGTGGCCAGCCGTCTTTGATGGCACGGTACGGTAGGGGATAGGTACGGGACAGGTACGATCGAGGGCAATACGACACCGTCTCCCGTACCGTACCGTACCATCAAACACAGCTGGTCACATACAGCTGCCCGCAATATTCGAATAGGGCTTTCAAACGCAAGATAATAACGACGTAAAGCAACTTGGAAGAATGGGTATGAATGCGAAGTGCATGGGGAAATGCATGTAGGGCGATAGTGCGGGTTCAAATCCGAGGATATGACTGAAAAAAGGAGAATTGAAAAATTTATAACATCCTATGCTTTTTTTGCCGTCAGATACGGATAGCGCCAGGCGTGACACAAACAAACACACAAACAAACACCAAATTAAAGCTGTGTGGACCCTGGCTAGCGCCAGACGTTACTGAAGTAACGTCTTCTGCATAGCTACGGGAATAATTCCTTTTTTTCACGCACTGCTGACTCGCCGCACGCAGCGCAGAAAATTCAAAATGTCCGATCGCTCGTCGCTCACTCAAACTTCATCGGAGAGACTTCGGACCTGTTCGAGGCGATAGCTGAGAGTTTTCTCTACCACCTGTCGATTGTTGAATTTGGTCAAGATCTGGCACAGAACGGAAAGTTTGACTGCGCTCATATGCATACGAAATGCCGATGCCATCGTTTAAGTTAAAATCGAACCATGGGCGCCAAAGACTGGCAAAGGGTGAAACAACGTTTTAATTACGCAGTTATTTAAAAATAAGTTTAAATAACTACGTCTTTAAAAGGGTGAACAAAGCATGTGCTAAAGCACTACATAATAGGCGTCAGACATAATGCTGAAATACTAGCTGAGTCCAAACACAAAGCATACGTGGGGTGATTAGCCCTTTCCCAAAGGTGCTCGCCCTTTTTCGCCCTTTTTGTAAAAGCCCGTTTCTTTCGCCCTTTATTGCGTTTTTGGTGAATATCGCCCTTTTTGAGCTTTTTTAGCTGAAAAAGTGCTAAAATCTGTTTGCTCATGCATGCGGTCACAGTTTCTGAGTGCTCGATGTGGATGGGCCTTGGCACGCCGAATTTTCGGGGGGGGGGGGGGGCAACAAGTTGGTGAAGCTTGTACCCGGTACCCGGTGTACAGAATGCTGTAAAAAGTGGGTTTTTTGAACTTTACTTCCTGTTTTGCCTTTCGTGGACCCACAAATGGAAGAGCGCGTATTCATTTCTCAGCTTGGGTTCATATCTGAACATGTATCATGGTTATCCTTCACTGGAAAAAAGAGCACTTTTTGCCTGTTTTCACTGAAAAAGGAGCACTTTTCCAGCATATTTTGAGGGACGCGAAAAGCACTAAGTGCGAATTAAAAGAGCACCTTTGGGAAAGGGCTAGGGGTGATACAGTGCAAACATTCAGCTAAATAACACTAAGTTCACATCTGATAACCAGCTACGAGAACAACTTAACGAGAGAGCTTGGAAGCTCAGGGCCCTACGCTATGCTTTTTTGCCTTGATGACCTAGACAAAAAAAAAGCATAGGGATGTTATAAATTCTTTAAAAAATTCCTTTTTTAAGACATAACCTGGGATTCGAACCCGGACTATCGCGCCCTGCATGCATCCCCCGGTCTTTAAAAAATTCCTTTTTTTTAAGACATAACCTGGGATTCGAACCCGCACTATCGCGCCCTTCATGCATTCCCCCATACACTTCGCATTCATACCCATTCTTCCAAGTTGCTTCACGTTATGATCTTGCATTGATAAGCCCTATTTCTTTATAAACTTGCTTCCACGCACCCTCTTCTTGCCCGACATCAGCAGCATCTTTGTATCCTTGTGCAAAAAATCTTCCTAGCCCAAGTCCCGAAACATATTGCCAAGTACAACTGGTTTCTTACCACTAGACCAACACGCAATGCCTTATCACTGCCCCGAGCTAGTTCCTCTCTGTTTTTGAAATCCCCTTTCTTCTCAGCATACTCCCTTTGGTCTAACCTGCCTACTAGCATTAAGACATGCCAGGATATCAGGAAATTCAAAGTCCAGCTTTCCACACTGTCTCATCCGAAGTGATCCCATGTATTACTAATGTGCCTCCCTTTCTTTTTCTCTCCCTATCTCCTTTCCCTCTCTGACAGCATCTTTCTTTTTCTCCCTTTTAGCTTGCCGTGGTTGGCTATCACCTGACCTCTCATGTTTATTGGCAGTCTTCGGACGGGCCAGGAGATGTTGAATAAATAAATAAATAAATAAATAAATATGCATTGTGGCCAGCCATCTTTGATGGTACGGTACGGTAGGAATAGGTACGAGACAGGTACGATCGAGGGTAATACGACACCGTCTCCCGTACCGTACCATCAAACACCGCTGGCCACATACAGCTGCCCGCAATATTCAAATAGGGCTTTCAAACGCAAGATCATAACGTGAAGCAACTTGGAAGAATGGGTATGAATGCGAAGTGTATGGGGGAATGCATGTAGGGCGATAGTGCGGGTTCGAATCCCAGGATATGCCTGAAAAAATAGGAGAATTGAAAAATTTATAACATCCCTATGATTTTTTGCCGTCAGATACGGGATAGCGCCAGGCGTGACACAAACAAACAAACAAACAAACACACAAACAAATACCAAACGAGAGAGCTTGGAAGCTCAGGGCCCTACGCTATGCTTTTATGCTTTTTTGCCTAGCTCATCGTACATGTTATAAGAACTGAGGCAAAAGTAGTTGCAGAATTTATTGCGGATTGTTATTTCTCTAATAATCATCTACTTTTGGTTTGCTCCTTCTTTTCTTTTATCTCCTTATACTGTAAATCAACAAATTTTGGCCGATGAGAAATATAAACCTCTCTATTAGAGAGGTTAAGATGCACGTTATTTCCGACGTGACGCGCAATTTCACGTCAAATTTGAAATCGATCGGTATTTTTGCTCGCACATGCATCCATTGCTCAATCATGCATCATTTGCCTTATTATGACAAACTTTGGCCTGCGATTTACTTTGGCCGGTTGGTACCAAGCGGCGAAATCAGCGAAATTAAATCGCCAGCGAAAATTAGTTGATTTTAATACAGTAATCGGATTTTCTGGCCTTTTTGTAGTAATACATGTACATTGACCTGTTGAGCCAATGACGACGCCGAATGCATGGTTGCCTGTGGAGCATATTACATAACTTAGCAGTCTCGTAAAATACGTATCCTGTCCGACGGCAAAAGAGTCTGCAGATTTAGTTTTTCTGCGCGTCGACCGGATGTCTGCGACGGGAAAGTTCAGCTCGCGTTATTTGGCTCGCACGTCGAAAAATCAACGCGAGTGACCTGCTGCTCACGTGGAAATTTGGACATTACATAACAGAGGCTGCAGATTTAGTTTTCTGCGCGTCGACGGGATGTCTGTCCTGACGTTCACTGGGACCGGCGCTAACTCTGCCGATCACGGGCGTTCTGGACTCGACGGGATGCCTGTCCTGACGTTTCCTGGGACCGGCTTAGACTCTGCCGATCACGGGCGTTCTGGACTCAACGGGATGTCTGTCCTGACGTTGCCTGGGACCGGCGGACTCTGCCGATCACGGGGGTTCTGGAGTCGACGGGATCTCTCTTCCGACGTTTCCTGTGACCGGCGCTGAATCGCTCGTTCACGCTTATTTTGGAGACGACGGGATCTCTCTTCCAAAGTACATGTATGTTAATGCGGACGCATCCTATCACCTTTTCGGCGTCTATTCTAATTTAATTTCCTCCTCGTCTCCCTATTTCTTTCCAAATCTCCCTCTACATCAGGGAGTCGTATACATAATACGACGAATATTGGTACGGTACGGGACAGATACAGGAGCCCGCAAATATTGTGGACAGCTGTTATGTACAATCCTGTAGAGCCTTTGTAGTCACAGATACGGGGCAGATACGGGACAGATACGGGACAGATACGGGATAGCTCCAGCCGTGACACAAACAAACAAACAAACAAACACACAAACACCAAATTAAAGCTGTGTGGACCCTGGCTAGCGCCAGACGTTACTGAAGTAACGTCTTCTGCATAGGTACGGGAATTAAAACTGTTCTTTGTACGGTATAAGTAAAGAGTTTCGTTTTTTTCGCTATGTTTGTTAGTTGGTAGGTATTGATATTGGTATTGATTTATTTGAATTCGGTATCTCAACAGTACATTGTACAACTTGGGAAGATCCGAATGACATAGATACATAAACATAAAAGTGGAGTAGGTGCTACAGCGGATCATTTTATCGCAGATTGTGGGACTAAACTAATACCAGTATGCAAGTACACAAGAAATGAAAGCTGAATAAATACGACTGCATGATATTGGAGAAAAGCACCAATTAGAGCAAAACAAAGCGACACATCACTCATCGAAAACATTTTCAAAAAGGAGCTATTTTAACCGGGTACATTGTGGCCCGTCATTAAGAAGAGTTACATGTAGTTGAATGTTTGTCATTCCTGAAGATGGGCCTTGCCCGAAAATTCGAATAATTTTAATATACGGTAGTTCCGCGCATATACATGTATGTATAAGCCCATGCGCTAATATACGAAATATTGCATTTTCCGGGGAAAAAATTAGTAATAATGGTTCGTTTTTTAGCCCTGGGCCTATATTCGAATTTTGAAGGCAGCTGGCACGCGAAAAAGTACAAGTCCGTGCGCGGTTGTCCGCTTACCGTAGGTACCGGTACTGGTAATGTAGTCTGCACTGACATGCTGTACTATCGCCTCGGTTCCGTAACGGTGTTTGGGTCTGCTTATTAGCCCATGGGCCTATAAACGGAGGTGGGCTTACATGTATATCCGGATATAGGCCCATGGGCTTATATGCGCGGAACTACGGTACTCCAAGTTGGAAGGTTGTTGGTTTGCGCTAGGCCATGACGGATTATGCTAGCATAATTTTTCGCATAATTCCTACCAAAATCGAATAATCGCATAATTCGAGGCAAATTGCATACGAATCGCATAAATTGGAATAACTGTGAACACACAATACAGGAAAGAACCCATACCGTTAGATAGATATTTGTTACTCACATCTTGGAGCGTATCTGGAATAACCTTCCCGGCGGAGTTAACTAAGTAGCAATAATCAGGCCTAGGCTAGAGTCGTAGAGAGTCAGTAAAGTTGCAGCGATTGTTCCCTCATCTGACGGCTACAGCTTGATTTTTCCAGTTTTGAGTCGACTCTTTACGACCTAAAAAGCAAAAAACGAGAAGTACTGTAAATCGACAAATTTTGGCCGGTGAGAAACTTTGGCGATCTCCAAATGAAACCTTTGGCCGTGATCAAACTTTGGCCGATTGGGGTTCAATCTTGCATCATTTGACTCTATGACAAACTTTGGCCTGCGATTTACTTTGGCCGGTTGGCACCAAGCGGCGAATTCAGCGAAATGAAATCGCCAGCGAAAATTAGTTGATTTACAGTACTACATGTACATGTAGTAGTCCTCTAATCGGACAGCTTTCCGGAACCGGATAGATACTGTATCCGATTTTGGGGGCATACATGTATTGGGATTCTTGTCGTGTGTGTTACTTCTGAGAAACTGTTACATGAAAACTGACTGTACTGAGTGTACTCACATTGTTGGATGACGAAGAGCATAGTTTCCTTGACCATAATCTAGTTTCCTGTTTGATCTCATCCTGCTACTTTTATCAATCACCGCAACGAGCTCCAACGGTGCCCGATCCTTCTCACTGACTTCTCCCCCTTCATCCTCCTGGCACTGGGGCGCTTGAATACTAACCACCACCCAACTTGTCTCCTTGCTAGCGTGCTGATACTCGTTGAAGTCTGACTTGCAGACTAGTTCGATTGCCTTCGATACCTGCGCTGCTGAGGCATCTGCGGAAGCCATTATGAGATGCCTCCGCGCTCCGGGCTCCTGTCAGGAAGGAGTAGATCTAGCATGCGAAGCTCCGACCGAGAGTGTGGGATGTGATGAAAACTACCGTCCGTGGAGGACAAACAACACAAACGAGTTACGTGCACTGGCCCACTCTCTAGTCTAGGTCTGCATGTCCGTGTGAAGCCTGCACCTACATCATAGTAGATCTACATGACTATTTACTATAATTATTACTGAGTATTAGAACGAGGTCTGTCTCGTTGTCCAGGAAACGACCAATCAGCGACATTCACGCCAAGGGCCTTATCAGAGTTTAAAGCCCGCTCAATCGTAATTTTGCTACTCTTGATGACGCGTCGAGGGCCTTGGATTAGTTTAAAGCCTGCTGAATATACTCTAAACTGGTGCGTACAACTCCCTGTATGCATTATAGTACGGTGCAGACAATGAACACCTGCACGCATGCACAAAATGTACGGTGTACTACTAAAAGCTACGCATTTGAGAAGTGTGTACGGTTTTTGCCTCCCGTGTTCTTTCATCTATACGATTTTCCTTTGTCAACAGCTGGCGGAAACCTATAAAAACCGAAGATCAAAGTCATTAGAGGTATCGACAAGGGGCTCTCAAAGCCCCTAGATAGCTCCAAAGCCGTTCTCAGCTGTGATTTCCAGATAGATATTCTGAGCGGCTGTGCTCAGCAAGCCACCCAAGCAGTCGGCAAAGGACTCTGGGATCTTCTCAGATGTATCGATGTAGTAGTAGACCCCATTGCCAGCGTCACTCAACGCTTGCAACAACGTGGCATTGTGATCAGCACCAAAGCCAAATGTGTAGACACTCGCAGCCACAACGTCACTTAGTTCAGAAGAACCTGCTGAACCTGACAAGGGGCTCTCAAAGCCCCTAGATAGCTCCAAAGCCGTTCTCAGCTGTGATTTCCAGATAGATATTCTGAGCGGCTGTGCTCAGCAAGCCACCCAAGCAGTCGGCAAAGGACTCTGGGATCTTCTCAGATGTATCGATGTAGTAGTAGACCCCATTGCCAGCGTCACTCAACGCTTGCAACAACGTGGCATTGTGATCAGCACCAAAGCCAAATGTGTAGACACTCGCAGCCACAACGTCACTTAGTTCAGAAGAACCTGCTGAACCTGACAAGGGGCTCTCAAAGCCCCTAGATAGCTCCAAAGCCGTTCTCAGCTGTGATTTCCAGATAGATATTCTGAGCGGCTGTGCTCAGCAAGCCACCCAAGCAGTCGGCAAAGGACTCTGGGATCTTCTCAGATGTATCGATGTAGTAGTAGACCCCATTGCCAGCGTCACTCAACGCTTGCAACAACGTGGCATTGTGATCAGCACCAAAGCCAAATGTGTAGACACTCGCAGCCACAACGTCACTTAGTTCAGAAGAACCTGCTGAACCTGACAAGGGGCTCTCAAAGCCCCTAGATAGCTCCAAAGCCGTTCTCAGCTGTGATTTCCAGATAGATATTCTGAGCGGCTGTGCTCAGCAAGCCACCCAAGCAGTCGGCAAAGGACTCTGGGATCTTCTCAGATGTATCGATGTAGTAGTAGACCCCATTGCCAGCGTCACTCAACGCTTGCAACAACGTGGCATTGTGATCAGCACCAAAGCCAAAGGTGTAGATACTCGCAGCCACAACGTCACTTAGTTCAGAAGAACCTGATGGAGGAGTTGGTGTTCAGAAGAACCTGCTGATGGAGGAGTTGGTGCTGGTGGTGGTGGTGGTGGTGGTGGTTGGTGTTCAGGCCCCGTCTGTTGCTGCTGCATCTGAGGCGGCATCTGTTGCGGCTGCATCGGAGGCGGCATTTGTTGCGGCTGCACCTGAGGCGGTATCTGTTGCTGCGGAATCAGAGGCTGCTGCATCGGAGGCGGCATCTGTTGCTGCTGTAGTTGGTTAGTTTGACTCATTGGAAGTGATGACTGGGTAGCAGAGGAAGAGCCAAAAAAAGGGAAAAGATTGACAGGTATCACATGATTGCCCAGCATTGAGCGGCCTCGTTGCGTTAAGCAGGCAATGATGTCTTGCTGTGAGCTTAGGCCCTCATTGGCCATGCCATCCGTCATCAGAAGAATTGATCACACCGTTTTCTTCTACTTTCCGGCACTAGTATCGCTGCCAGCATTCTGTTTCTGCAGGTCTTCAATCATTGCCAATCCTTCCAGAAGTCCACCAGACAGATTGGTGCAGGAACCTGTGTGCAAGCGTTCGATCAGATCAGTAATTTCCGCTTTGCCGCTCGCATCCATCTTCTTGAGTGTACCAGTTGATGTCACATCAAAATCATACAGGTTGACCTCCAGCTTGTCTTTTTTACTCACTGTGAACACACAATACAGGAAAGAACCATAACGTTAGATGGATACCGGTATTTGTTATTCACGTCTTGGAGCGTATGTGGAATAACCTGCCCCGCGGAGTTAGCTAAGTAGCAATAATCAGGCCTAGGCTAGAGTCGTAGAGAGTCAGTAAAGTTGCAGCGATTGTTCCCTCATCTGACGGCTACAGCTTGATTTTTCCGCATAAAATTGGACTAATCCGCCTGTTCGCATCAAATTCCATACAGTTGTACATGTTCTACAAGTACAAGTACAAGTAGACACACCAGGAAGGCGTAGGTTTACGACTCCCTTGATAACATGTCCAGTCCACTACAATCAGTGACCAGGGTGACGGTCATAGCTAGGTCGGACGGTGCTTTGACCCCGTTGAACGTTTGCTACTACAGTACAACGCCCTCTACAAAACAATTCACCTGTTATTTTGCACAGAACAATCATATACATTAGCAGCATATGTGAGCATAATGCCGCATAATATGATAACTTTTTGCATAATAATAGCATAGGCAATTTTTTCAGCAATGCGAAAAGCATAATTTCACGAAAATATTAGCATAATCTGTCAAGGCCTATTGTCGCCTGCTGGCGCTGTGACCAGGTGACTTGGGCACGCAGGAGCACGTGACCGCTTGTTCAACCATGTTCGATTGGGAATAAAGGAGGAACGCTGCATCGCAGCTTTCTCGGACCAAAACCAGTCGACTCAGCGTCCAAAAGACTACAACATATGGGCCAATTGCGGTCATCCGTGCTTTATAAGAACGAAATGGCGCTTTTAGTGACATTTTTGCATTAGGCCTCGACCAAATATGCTAAAAAAAAGAGCATATATGCTCGTCGCATATCAGGGAAAACGTCCATAATATGCCAAAGGCGTAGCAAGATATTCCAAAATATGCCAAAATATGCTCGACATAAGCAGAAAGTGTAGATCATTTCAGTAGAATTACGACCTTGGAATATTCGTTGGCTTCACGGCTATCATGCTTATGGTGCAAATCAAAACACATCCGGAATAGTATGGCTGGGTTTTTTTTTTTTTTTTTTTTTTTTTACTATGTTCACATTCCCAGATCGAAAATAATAAGAAAGACAATGATACTGAGACTAGGACGAACGTGACAACTATTGAGCAGGGGCTGACGCGAGACGCAGCAGTTATGGTGGGGCATTGATGGCTCTGCCGACCTGAGGTCTCGGCATCACGGCCAAAAACACGCACCAAAAACAAAAGATAGAGCTGTACGAGTCAGCAAAATGAAAAGAAAGGAAGGCCTGCAGGGTTAACACCAGCGAGTGTGCGGGAGAAACTGTGAGACTATTAACAAATTACAAGGGCTGTTACTGAGATGAGCATCATCATGGCTGATCATGGTGAGTCGGTTGTCTGAGCCAGTTGTGGTGCATAGATAGGGATAGAGGAGAACGACGAGAGCATCATCATAGCGAGTCGACTGCCCAGAGCCAGTTTGTGCTTCGCAGATGGCGATAAACATTAGTTTTGAATGCTTGTATTCCCTTGCTGTGGGGAGGCTGGGACAGAAGAGCGGCGGGGAGGGAGTTCCAGTCACTGATACTGCAGTGTGGGAACGAGCGCTTTAATGCCAGCGGGACAGATGCAAGCAGCTGGTGTTGGAGCTGGTGATCATGGCCAATGACGCTAACATGCTCGCTGCGAGTTCTGGGGCTGGATGAGGGGAAATGGCGCGGTGGCAAAACAGAGAGTAGCTGCGGAGGGCCAGGCAGGTAATGCAGTTTGTATAGGCAGGCAAGCGAGGTAACAGTCCGACGGATGGCCAGGCTAGGTAATAGTGCACCTGGACCGATGATTCGCAGAGCACAGCGTTGGATATGATCCAGGCGTTGCAGGTAGCTGGGCGGAGCACCTATCCAGATGAGGGGGGCATACTCCATAACTGGTCGAACAAATGCCTTGTATACTGTGGTGCGGCCGGCTGGAGAGAGAATGTGCGCTGCACGGCGCAGGAAGCCCAGGCGTTGTTTGGCTCGAGTGGCAACCTTCCGGAGATGAGTGCTGAATGACAGCTTCGAGTCAAAGGTCACTCCAAGTAAAGAGAGAGCCTTCTCCTCAAGGACAGGAGTGCCGCCGAAGACAATGCGAGGCAAATTGATGGGGGTTCTGCGGAGAGTGGCGGTCATGGCTTGGGACTTCGACGGTTCGAAGGAGATGCGCGATCTGCGGCCCCACTGATGCAAGCGATCCACAGAGGTCTGGAGGCTCAATGCTGCGTCGGCTGGGGATGTGTCGAGGGATATCAGGCTATACAAGGTAGTATCGTCGGCATACGCCTCCAGGTGGGCTCCGGGTGACAGGGTCTCTGAGGCGTCGTTCACGTAAATCAGGAAGAGTGTAGGGCCGAGTATGCTCCCTTGGGGAACTCCTGCTGATATGGTATACAGCGATGAGGTTTGGCCGCCCACCAAGCATTGAATGGACCGTCCACCTAGGTAGGAAGAGAGCCAGGTATGCAGGGGGCCGCCAATGCCAAGATGGCGGACTTTGTGGAGGAGGCCAGCATGGGACACACGGTCGAATGCTCCGGCAATATCCACGGCTAGAATACGTGCTGCACCGCCTCGTCCGACGGCTGTGATCCAGGCGTGGTGTAGAGCCTGTAGCGCATCTGAGGTCCCGAGGCGGCGACGAAACCCGAACTGGTGGGGTGTCAGGAGTTTGTAACGCTCAAGGTGATTCATGAGCTGACGATTGATAACGCTCTCCATGATCTTAGAGATTATGCTCAGCAGTGAAACTGGACGATAATTCCTTAGGGCGGATCGTGAAGATCGCTTGTGGATTGGAACCACGCTGGCAGTCTTCCACATTTGTGGCTGGACTCCGTGCTGGAAGCAAAGAGCAAAGAGCCGCCACAGTGGCTTGGCAAGTTCTCTAGCGCATTCCTTCAAAACACGAGCGGAAATACCGTCGGGTCCAGTCGCCTTTGAGGCATCCAGGCGAGCTAAATGCCGGTGGACTGCATCGGGGCGAAAGTGGACTGTCGTTAGTGCAGGTGCGTCAGCGAATGCCGTGTCCGGTAAGTCCAACGTGGTTAGGTCGCGGCCTTGCACACTGCACTTGTGGGAAAAGAAACGTGCGAAAGCCTCCGATTTCTCATAGCTTGTGGCCCTCTCGCAACCTACACTATCAACGAGCAGGGGAATGTCAGTGTTCCGACCCTCGCCACAAGCGCATTTTAGCTTCGTCCACCATTCCTTCTCCTTCAAGGACCCATTCGACAAGCTATGTCTGAGGCTGTTCTCTTTGGAAACTCTAGATCTAGCGAGGACTGCGATAGCATTGTTTACAGAACGGGTAAACTCATGTTTCAGTGCAAAATCGTGAGGGTGTGTCCCCAGCAACCGTGGCGATAGTGTTTATCCATGTGGAAATGTAGCAAACGCCTCAACCATTCCAAATTCATCCATAAAAGGCATTTCTGAACGCATTTTGTCCATAATAATGAATGTTTTGTCCTCATTTTCTTCAGAATATTTGAATTATATGCTGGCTTCATTCCAATATTCCCTTTGTCGCTCAATATGCCATATACATGTATGAACTGTCTCACGAAATATGCGGAAATATGCGCCAGCATATTTGGTCGAGGCCTATTTTGCATACAAATCCCTATCTAGTAGGGCGCAGTCAACCAGTTTCGGTGGAAGTGCGCGAGTTCGATTGGGATTCAAGTAGGAAGGGAGCGTCTCAGCTTTCTGGGGCCAAGACCATTCGACTCAGCACCCCGAAGACTACAACTGGTGAAATTTTATTCCCGTAGCTATGCAGAAGACGTTACTTCAGTAACGTCTGGCGCTAGCCAGGGTCCACACAGCTTTAATTCCCGTAGCTATGCAGAAGACGTTACTTCAGTAACGTCTGGCGCTAGCCAGGGTCCACACAGCTTTAATTTGGTGTTTGTTTGTTTGTTTGTGTCACGCCTGGCGCTATCCCGTATCTGTCCCGTACCGTATCGCACAGCTGGCCATTTGCTGGCTCCCGTATCTGTCCCGTACCGTACCGTACCATCAAACACAGCTGGCTACAAACAGCTGGCCACAATATTATGTACATGTATACGACTCCCTGTGTGTTGCAACTGTGCTTGAAGGGGACGGTTGCACTTTTTGTAGCTCTGTTTTATCTGAGTTTTCAGTCGTTCCTCTTACTAGTCTTGCCAAGGGGGTGGCTCGGGGTCCACCAGAGTTGCCCCTGGCGTATTTCTGAATTTGCTGGGGCGAGGGTTCTGCGACGCGGTCGCCAAGGCAGTGTCTTTTCAGTCACGACCGTTGTCGTCCTCGTCTCTCCATTCGCGGTGGTGCAGCTGACCCCCGAATGGTTTCAAACTGCAAAGCTCGGAGGAGTACAGTGGTGGCAGAGGCATGAGCTGTGAGTGGAGACGGTTGCTGGAGATGGATGGTGATGCAGGGAGAAGAGTTACGCTGCCTGACGCCGCGTGGGAAATTGTTTGAACCTGCAATTTCAGTTCGAGCGCGGTGGACTTCTAGACGATGTGTCCTCATGGCTGTTTTTCAACGCTTGGCCTATCGCTGATATCCCTGCGTGGGATGTTCTTCCAGTGGAGTCCAGGTGGGACTTCGGGTGCCCACACTCCATCACCTGGTTGATTGTTTCGGAACTGCAAACATAATTATTGTTTCCTATTTTGTGCGCATCTCTTGTCATCTCTCTTTTTTATATGTCGCACACC